TATGCGTATTTACGCGTAGATTTTAAGTTCGCATTGTGTGTAGCACACAATTTGCCCACACTGGAAAATATGCTTGCAATAATTATGTTGTTTAATGAAGCATTGCATATATTTGAAATATTTATTTTTTTGAGAATGACTTCGTAAGATTGTGGAAAACTGTATCTTTATCATATATTTGTTCTTTTGAAACGACATTTAAATTGTCAATGTTAGACATGCATTTATTTCATAATGATTATGAATGATGCTGAAAACAATGAAAATAAAAATAAAATGCTCATATCTGAAATGATTCTTTTGTTTTATTTTCATCTCTCAATAAGGAATTTGTTTTAATTTAATGAAATGAAAATGCATTTAAATATTGTCTTTATGGACTGAATAAATAAAAGCAATGATAAATAATATATAAAGTAATTGTTACCATTAGTTAAGACTTTTTATCTTACTGATGAGCATTTGTACTATTAGAAGCCATTAAAAGTTCGAAATAATCATTTTTACTTTTGTGTCAATCTCTCACACTACAATATCAACTTTGATTGATTGTATTACTTAGTTTCTTCGAAACAAAGACATAATATTCTTTTTTATATTCAACTTCTAAGTTTTGATATTGACTAAATATGTCTGACAAGCTTCCCTCAAGATTATCTTTAACTGTTATGATGTATGGCACAGAAACAATTTTAAAAGCCCGAAATCTTTAATTTCACTCTTTTTCTTTTAAATTTTTCTTGTTTTCTAGTCGTATATAAAACAAAGACAATCATGTTTAATTTTGTTTTGAAACAAATGAATGAACCATAAATTATATATTTCTTCGAATCTATTTTATGATGGATAGGATGTTTATTTTTATGAGCAAAATAAATCTACAGAATCTGATTGTAAACAAAGCATAAGGTTTTTATTTCATTTGTGTACCCTTATCAGAAATAAAATCAAACTTTTCAGCGCTGCAAAAACAGATATTACCATGTTCGACTAGGATCCCTACCTTGGGTAATACATCAAAGTACACAACAAATATTTTACCTCAACAAAATATGTTCACTACACTACACTTTATAAACGAATAATATAATTATATTAATTGTATTCTGAATAAGAAACGAAGGGGTGATATCATGCATATAATGCGATTATTGAAATATTTTTATTAATGAATCTCTGTGGAATAATATTTGCATCAAAAAGAGTACAGAGAGTAGATTATGCAAAACCAACCTGAATTTAGGAGGTTGCATGAACCTGTTTGACAGACAATGTCTGAAATCTTAAAGTTAATCTAAATAAACTAATTCATTATTACATAATCACAACTTTCGATATTCAAGAAACCATTCTGAAAACAGAGAGACAATTAGTGTTTTATAGTCACTAGAGAGGGGATAAGGATCATTTAGTAGCAATGTAAGCAAAGGAAATGTATGACATTTGCAGACACATTGTTACTGAGTTTATTGTAATGCGAATCATCACAGGCCCCGTAGCACCGTCTAAAGCGGTATTCAGTCATCATCACAAAACCAAAACAATTTTTAAACAATTATTACGACAAAATATCTATTCTATTTTTGAAAATAACAGGAATGACAATCCATCGTTTTTCAACATCAGAAATAAAGGAATAAATATTTACATTCTAGCGATACGTATAACATGTTTTAGAAGTATCTTTTTCAAATAAAGTAATTTCTATACAGCAACTCAGTAGTTGTGTGTTTTCCCTTGCGCAAAACAATTTCCATGTTATAAAGTTGATTTGTGAAGTTACGATACCTGTTAATTGAGACAAATTTGGTCCCAAACAATTCTGTCTCTGCAAAATTTAAACAGACATAAATTTATAATGAGTTTTAATCTAATCTTTCTAGAGTGTAATGAATTTTACCTTCAAAAATTTCTTACTGAATAATTATGAGGAAAAAATAAGTGTTCGGCTATTAAAGTTGTTCTTGAAAGCATTTAAGCGAATAGTGAATGTATTTTAGTTAATTTTATTTGAACGATGTGTTAAATTTAAAGTGATACTCAGGCAAATTAATGTCAAAAATATTTTAATGATCTTATTAACTCTATTCACGCTAAAATGACATTTTTTTTAAATCCAAGCATGAATTTCTGTAATAAATTCTATATATTTAGGGTTTAAAGCGTAAATATATCTATATTTGTCGAACGAAATTTATAAGCCGACAGAATCACCGAGTAGTTTAAAAAGAAGTTTTGTGACTTGAACAAACCCTGGAAGTTAAAATAACATATATTTAGGATATTGTATGATTTAAACGTGTCTAAGAATTTCATTTGACATGTTTTTTACGTTTCCAAATTCACTGTGACAACTATTATGAAATATTAACGCTCTAACCTGACCCACGTGGGACAGGTTAGAAAACCATCATTCAATACTTTATAATTAGAAAAGATTTGTTCCTGTTACTGCTTAGTATATTCATTTTGAGGACATTTACAGAAAAATTCAAAACGAAGAAATGAAAATTTTGCCTGTGTCTTCCTTTTATTTCATAATAAAGCAAACTTGCTGCTCTTAAACTTTCGAAAATTTCACATTGAAATAAAAATGTTAATCAGAAATGTTAATCATTTAGCTATTTCTCTCTTTCTTACTGCTTTTTAAAATTCAAGTTTCGTCAGTTTTTAATTTCTTTTGTAAGCAAATCGTTGTCTACTACTGACACAATGTGGGAAGGGCCTAATGCTGTTATCACTTGGGGTCCGACTTTTTGCTTTTTGTGGTCCATGGAAATACTGTAATTTTTCTTATAATGTTTTGTCTTATGTTTGTATCTGAGATTATAGAAAGAAAGAAAAACAATAAAATAGTATTAAACTTAATTGAATTATTGAATAATTATTATAAAGTGATTTAATGTTGAGCACCGCTACAATAATTAGTCTACTTTCTTCTTTTGCTGCTATTTCTGAAATTGGAAATCACTTTTTATTCAACTTTTTCTGATGCGCAAGTGGAACTAAGTTTGCGGAATCCTAAGTTTGATATCTAATATATTTGCTTACATAAATGTTTTTTTTTTCAATAAGGTTCATGCAGCTCTAACAAAATTTATATATAAATATGATTATCTAATCATTAAACTTGGTATGCAATATCTTAACTTTCTATCAAGTTAAAGGGAATTTATTCAATCAGCCACATCACGTAATAACAATAGGTAAAAATAAGTGTGCCTTTTGGAGAGTAAAAAGATTTTCTTCAGAACCAAATATGCATTTTCTGGTGACCAATATGATCTTTTTCTAGTTTTCAAAAGCTGTCAATTCACAAACAATATATTCACTCCTAACGAACTTGTAAATGAAACGAATATGGTTTACTAAAACCATACATTGCATGCCAGCGTTTTATAAATATGGAACAGTATCTTAAAATGAGCATCTCGTGACATTTAAAAGTAATTTAAGCTTTGATGTAAGAGAATTGTACACTTATAATCATTAGTTTTACTTTACTGCTTGTTATAGAAGGGTTAGTTTATATTTCAATAACCTAATTAGCCTTCAATGGCCTTAGGTTTTTGTTTCATGAAACAGTTGTTAAATCAAACCCTATCGACATACAAATCGATACAAATATTCAAACAATATTGACGTCAAAGCAAACGATGTATCAGTCGGAAATTCTTTTCCCCAAGTTTTGTTAAACCTGTTAGATTAACCAAAAGAACTAAACAAAATCAAAACTAAAGATTATTAATGAAGCATTAGTTTAATATCTGCTTTGCGATTTAATTAAAATGGTGCTTTTAAAATTGAAATCAGAATTGTTATAAAAGTGAAAAATTTGTAGTTTCTTAAAGTTACATTAAATAAATTTCATAAAAACAGAAATAGCGACATTTCATTAATAAATTGGGTTTCATATCGACTCCAGATCTTATTTTGGTGTCCAGACAACCAACATGAGTTTTATAAGCATTAAAAATGGACAACCTCATTGTGGCGAAATCGGAAGTACAATATCTGTTTGCATGAGAAACTCCGCCTTCTGATCATCCGTACATCAATATTAAATCAATAAACATGACTATAAGTAGCAGTCCTAATTTAACGGTATATTTCCGCATTGTAACGGATGTTTTCATACAAATTTAATCTTTTTTATGAGATGATTACTTTTTACTGAACCTCAGGCCTAGTGCACCGTGAAGTTAAACGGTTAAAATGTGTTTGCACAAGAAATTCTCATATTTGTTGTGTCCCGGATAGCAGTTATAACACTGTGACGTAGCGCATACACGAGCTGATTATAATCTTCATTCGTATACGAACTTTAGTGTTACCGTGGGGTTTCCCGTTTAAAATTCTTATTTATGAACAATATTTGATGAGATTTACAACAATACTGTTAAAAAGGTTAATGAATCTGTAGAATGATTGTTTTTTTATGCCGACGGCAAAATATATTTTACATATTTATTTAGTGTAGCTTTAAGTAAACATTAAACTTTTAAGTAACAATTTATTCACTTTCTTTATTGTATTCAAATCGTTACTTTCCCTATGTCTTTATTGCATAAATATATTTCCTAATGTTAACGTTTTCTTCTTTCACCCAAAGGACATTTATTCTATGTGTGGAATCAAACCTTCCTTTGTATGTCATCCTTCCAGTTATATCCATCATGTCTGTTTGGACGAAAAAGACGTGGGCGTAATGTCCCTTCTTAACTTCGCGTTGTTTTTGTTTTTTTAATTTGGTATTGTTCCCATTCTTGACATACTTGCTTATGGGGACAAGGCACATGTGTAGATATGAAATTACGCTTCTGTTTTACATGGAAAGTAATTAAACGTTTGTATAAGCACAAATATTTATTTTAAATATTCACAATTACAAAGTTATTCCTGTTTCTAAAAATAAATGTTATAACAACCATGCTTCTCTTGAATTATGTTCAGTTGTTGCTAAACTGAAGAGCCTTGTTATCGCGTAATGTGCCTTGCTATATGAAAGCGGAAAGTCAGGTACAATGACATGTTCTGACGTGGTTTTTAAAATAAACAAACATATAATTTTAGTTTTACTCGAAAATAACTCATTAAGCATTTACGATAAAACTACAAATCTTATGTAAGTCCATACATGTATATACAGAAATTAAAATCAAGATATCTTCAAAACAAAGTCGTATCTTAGCGAAGCCAGATGCTCTTTATTTTAAGCAAGAGGTACAATTATTAAAATACATACATTGTTGTTACAAAAATGTGAATTATCTTTGATATTTAAATGTATTCAACCATGACAATATTAAGAAGAAGAAGAAAAAGACATGAACTCCCGCATTGAATATTTTCCAGTTCTCTTATTATACAAATTCTCCAAAGAATATCTACTTCAAATGAACTTTATTCAAAACAATATTGTTTGTTTTGTCATGGTAAAAATGTATATTCCATAAAGTATCCTTGTGATCTAAATGATCTTTATAAAAAGGCTGTATGTGACATGAATAATATGTGCCTAGTTTATCATTTTGTACCAGAAGGAACTTCACATTATTATTCCTTAATAACCATTAGGGAAATAAGTGAGTAGATAACTAGTTTATGTTCTAAATATCTATGATCAAGAATTTACATATGACATAAATTATAAGTATATAAACGTTAAATCGAATACAGATTCATATTGTTAATTGATTTCTAATAATTCTAAATTTTTTACATTGTAAGAGAAATGCAACCGAATTCAGGTTAAATAATGTTATAAAGATAAATAAAATTATTATGAAATATTTAAAAACTGTTATTGAATATTCCAGAAAAAAAGTAAATAATGGTTGCATATAAACGTTGAAAACAATATTTCTTTTATTCTAAATGCATTCACGTTGTACTGATGAAAGACATGCAGCACTAGCTCTTTTCAAAATAAGATCAAAATAAGAAGTTTTTATCCCCATTCGTTTTTACACAAATTCTCTCGCAATCACGTTTCCTGTGTCTAAACTTAAAAAATTCTTCCAAGCTGCATATTTATAATGGCTGTATTTTTCATCTTACAAAATTCCAAATGTCAATACTAAAAGAATCTCATAACCTAGAATTTAAAAATGTTTTTATGACAAATTTTATTCCTTTGAGGTTATTTTATAGATCTCTATAACACACAGAGATTCATCATTTTAGGTTTGTAATTGCTTCTAATGATACTTGATATTAAAGATCATCCTACATCGATTAGTCATGCGGAAAAAAACGAGGAAAACTTGTTTCCTGCTTTATTAGTTATTTGCTAATTCTAATGTGATTTTTCACTAACAATTTTTATGCCACAATAAGTTTTATAATGGATTCATATATGGCAATTAGCTGTGATTTCTCTTAGAAGATGTAATCTTAAAAAAAAACATTACCTAAACTCATTAAGGAAAGTTTTTCTTTTAATTTTGTTCTTTCGTGCAAATGTTTTGGATTGCGCCTAAAAACCAACATTTTATCATTAAGCTACTATATTTTATTCAAGAAAAAAGTCTCAAAGTTAATTGAGTTTAATTATCAAAGAGTGATACCTGATGCTAGAAAACATGCAATTTCGATTTGTTTATAACTGAATCCTGTCATGCATCTGGAATTCTCACAATACAAGTGTTTCAGTTAAGCATATGTTACTTCAAGTTTCCATTATTTTACAAAACGTTTAAAGATTGATATCAGATAATATCAGATGGAATGTTAGTATAATTGGCGTTGTCAAATTTCATCTGTATGCAATAAAAACACTTTATCCATGGTATCTGCACTGATCTGGAAAAGAGACAAAACAAACTATGTTAAGGACTTTTTGCATTGCTTGAAAAATATATGAGTATGACAATGTTCTTACATGTTTTCACTCGGAAGTGTAAAGGAAATGTGAAACGGAATATCTTTAGAAACATCAAGCTTTGACCAAAAGAAGTATATTTACGACGTTATGGCATAAGATGTTGCGATAAAACTAGGCAACTCAAGGTAAATGAATATCCCCTAAATATGTATTATGCGCTAACATTCTATCATTTTCATTTAATATCAAAATGGATTTGTTTTGATGTCCAGTTTTCGGAGAAAGTACCAATTGCTAATATAGCTGAACCATCTGTTGTTCGTTTGCTGTTTGGAAATTAAAGCAGTTAGGTGAACAAATATTTTGTATGGTAATCAAAATACTACCATGTTCAAAATAGCTGCTACCTTTAATTCACATTTAGTGCTAAGTATCTAATATGTCTTACATCCATTAGTAAGCCATTATAAAAATAGTTTGCCTATTCTCAAGAAGCAATATTTATTTCTGATGCATCATTTGCCTTTATTAAATGTATTATAATACTTTCCTTTCTGAAATGTTTCCTCATATTTTAATTTGGGTTAGCATTATATTACTGACTTTCATTATCCTCATAGATTTCAATGACAATAACATTGATGATCTATGTAAAGAAACTTTCTCAATGAATAAACTTTAGACATCTAGTGGAAATGATAACAAAACACTTTTCTGTTGATAAATATCATAAATGTTTCACATAATGTTCATAATTCAAGGTGGGTATTTTTAAAAGTTGTGTTTTCTTCCACCACAATAAGAGATATAATATTTCCATTTTCTAAAATACTAGATTTTATTATTTGTATAAGAAAAACTCTTTAAATTGCGCATATGAATTTCATTCTGATGAAGGCGTTAGCCAAAACGTTGGTAAATTAAATAATTTTTTATTCACATATTGTTGATAACATTTACATATTTGCCGAGCATATGATGATTCCTACAAATGTTACTCATCAATTTTATATTTAGTCCTTTAGTCATCATTATGTATTTGGCTTCAACCAAATGAAATGTGACAAAAAATCACAAAGCTCCCTTCTGTTATTAATTTGAATAATTACAGAAAATTAACATTTCTTTTGTATGTTATATAATCAGTTCAATAAAAACAAACGCTTTTCTTAAGCTTTCGACGTTAAGTCTTCTTCAGAAAAAATTGACGTTTTTTTATTTATTTTTTTTTTGTATGTTATAAAACAAATAAGCAAAGCTTTATTCAGTAAATTTACATTAATCTATTGCAACAAATTTCATCAGGTAGCAAAATAAATGTATTTAACTTACACATGATATGTGTGCTGTAAATGACCTTTCAACCTCAACGTCATCATCAAGTGGCGTGTGAACGACTCTTTTATTTGCAACTTTTCTTAACGTTACTATCGTGCATACAATCATACTGGCACCAATCAAGCCAACACCAACAGGTACTAATATACTTATCATATAACGTTGACTCTGAAAGCATTTTGTTATAAGTGGTTTTTTTTTAAATAACAATGTTAAATAAAATTCATTTAATTAAAACATATGGTGTATAAAAATATTACATTGAATCTTCATAAATATATATAATGCTTATCCAAAAGTATACGCGTCTTTCATCGTTAAATATTTTCCTAATTAAAACACATTGATACATGTATATCTCTGTCCATAATCAAACTTATAAGAGACATATATCTAAAAACAAAATGCTATAAAACATGTATAATGTATCATTGATTTAATAAGAATAACGACGCTACGGTTTACTAAAGTTGATGCCATTGTGAAAGTACTTTGGGTAGGAAGACTTATAATGCAATAAAACGGCGTTGTTATTGTTTGCATTTGGACGTTTGATGTGTGCCATTGTCACACGAATTTTAAATTTTTGTGTAAAAGCATAATGTCTGAAACTGGGACAATCTCAAATCAAACTGTGTTATTGTTATATGTATCATTAAATTCTTAATACGCCTTCATGGATATTTATGTGCAGTGATCGGGAACAGTATGAACACTAACCAGCCTTCATGAATATTTATATGTACTTATCCAAACCAGTATGAACCAAGTTTCAAACAACATTTATTACAGGCGATGTAAACTGCATCATTCAGAATTTTATATTATAAAATGTTATCATGTTTATAATATTCTTAAAACAACATAATATGGTTAATCAAATACATTTTTAATGTTATTGTATAAATTGTGATTTGATTAGATGAACTAATTTAGCTGAATTCGAGATATTAATTTCAGCATTATATTGACAGAATTACTTCCCTTTGTTTATTTCCCGTACATTTTACAATTATCCCAATGTAAGCACGTGGTTATTCGTAAATAACATTATATCGCAAATATTTCATTCTATAATTTATATGTTTCATTCAAATGTGGCTTTGCACGCAGAAAAAACAATTTAATGCATGCTTTAAAGTTCCGGCATCATTTTGTTTACGTTATGATGTAAAAGATTCGAAGAATCGCGTTTTGTATTAACATTGATATACATTTAATATTAGTTGTTTTTATTTTAATTTAAACCTACCTGTAACATCTGTGAGTCAAATGGTTTATCTTCCATAGGTACTAAAATGAAATGAAAATAATTATTTTATTATATCTAATAACAATAACATAATGATTATAAAATTCCGAGGAGGTTAGCCAAAATCATCTTTCCTGTTTCGGTGCCATATGATCGCAACTGTGTAGGTTCGCCGTAAAGCCAAACAAAACAATAAAATTCTATTTACAACTTCTTTAACTTTATTCGTCTAATAAGGACCGCTCTGCAAATTAATTGGATTTATCTAATTTCTGTCATATACTTAATTAGTTTGATAATAAGTCACACAGAAATTGTAACAATTAATAGATATGCACAATACTTCTTAATTATCAGTTTTAAAGCCATCTTCAATGATCTATTTATAATTAATAGCATATTTGATTTTGATAACAAATCATACAGTAATGCATAAATTAAAAGGAAAAGGTGGGAACGTTTCCGTTTAAGTGGAATGAACTTGTCCGTAGTAATGATAACTAAACTTAGTTACATATTTTGTTAAAGAACATTTAGGTCTGTCTAATACTTTATGTAATTCATAAGCGTAAAACAGTAACTAAACATTTCAATTTTCTTTACAAATCCCTTACAAGGTTTTACCATATCCATATGACAACAGCGTTATTGTATTGTTTTATAGCTAATTTCGCCAGTCATATATTGAGTGTCAAACTATAATATTGCAAATACTAATCTGAATGCCTTTTGTAAATCTTGTGTTCTAAATCGAAATATTATATTTACATGAAATACTCGTTACCTAATTGTAGATGGTGCTGCAGCATTATTTTCGTCTTTTCCAACATTAAACCCCTAAGTTCGTCATTTTTTCTATCATGTGGCACTTTGTCTCCTTCTTGTCTTGACGAATCTTTTAGAAGGATCGTACTTGTAACTGTTGTTATATCAACATGCTTGATATCGTTATCATTGTAATTTCTTGTATTTATCTCTTCAACTTTAGTATTGATGCTTTGGTTTGATATCTTTCCAATTTGATTTGATTCATTAGTAAAGCTGTCATTCACTATTGCAAAGTTGTTTCTTAAGCTTTTAAAATAACTATTTCTCACATCCTCAACACGAGTTGTCAAATTGTACATCCCAATTGTATTGTTATCTTTGATTTCCAGAGCATCATATTCTGGTGTTGTACTTATTGTAACATTTTTATTTGGCGACACCTCTGTAGCTTTTGTGTTGTTATCTATGTCGTTATCTTTTATGTTAAACGCTGTTTCATTTTTTGATGAACCAACATATGAGGCACATATTGTGATAACTATTATCAATATCATTGCTTCTGGACACATTTTCAATTATTTATTTGAACTTTAGATTATAAAAGTTCGTGCTGAGATTATTTCTTTGTTGTTTGTTGTCACGATGAAGATATTCCTGAAAGTTTATGATAAAAAGGTTATCAATTAATTTATTTTGAAGCTAGTAGTGTGTGTTCATATAATAAATCATACAAAGTATGATAAATTCCTTTGTGAATAGGTAATTACGCCTGTAGAAATGGAAAATGACAGTGACAATCAATTATGATAATTATTATCTTATAACATGATGTGCTTTAATAGTCAATGAACACGAATTTACATAATTAAACTCAAATACTGCCGATGTATCAAATATAAAATTTCAAAAAGATGCGTTGGACAAATCGATACAAATATACTCTATGTTTTCCGAATAACAATGGAACAATAAATGTGCAGAATACAAAGTATAAAATTAATTTCTTGTACATAACATCATTTCTGAATTTAATGAATGATTTGGATACATGTCAACAGCACCAACTTTCCCAATACTTTCATTAAATTTCGTGAATTTAAACGATTATTTTTATTCCCGCTTAGGGTAAAGAATAGATAAACGGGATCTGCCATCAAATTGAATTTATGACTTTTGTTCTTACCAAATAGAAGTTGCAGATCAAACTTGTTACTTTTTCAATACCTCAACTTAAACAATTAATAATTAGTTATTGATTTATAAACATTTCATTCTAATTAAGAATTAGCTATAGAAAATATAAGTACTTGCCTTATTATCCGCAATTATCAATTCCCTACAAATATGTTTCAATAATTCCTCTGTTTTCTATCAAATAGTCCTTACATCCTGAAAATTGTCGTCTGCTACCGATAGCAGTTCTCTTATCACTGACTTTGTTAGTATAAACACTCTTCTAAACGTATTGGATAATGCGCCTTTGTACCGTATGTCCATTGTTTCACCTCTTTAGACAGACAAAACAATTTTAAAACAAGACGATAAATAAAATGTATCCTTCTTAAAAAATGAACTGGTTTTATGGTAGCAAAATTGTTGTTATTGCAGACGTTAAATCAGCGAAATATAAAAAGTATAGATTATATTATGAAATTTATTCTTAAAGCAGCATGCCCTAAATTGCATGATAATTTTTTGAAGAAAGCAAATTATACATTGCAAACGACACTCACAAGGAAGTAAAAACTGTTTTGAAAATCACTTATTTTCTGTTTTGGAATATAATCTATTTCTGTACACAAAATCGTTTATTAAATTCTTGTCAAAAACTTGTGCATGTGACTAGAAGGTATCGGCATCTTTACTTTATGATATACATACATGTATATTTATCTTTTAAATTAATGTAGCATGTGTCTGACAATAAATACTGATATTCATTTCATTTTGAAATATGTTTAGGTAACACAAAATATAGATTTTTCAAAGTAAGATAAAGATAAAGAAAGTTTTTTTTTGTTTTGTTTTACTGCGCACCAACACAATTAAGGTAATATGGCACCGAAACAGGAAGAATATTCTGGCTAACCTCGGGTGTTACAAATTTAAAGTAACATCAAGTATCAATACCACCTCCTGGAGCTAAGAGATGCATAGACTCCAGTTATTCGCACCCATTAAGTCGCCTCTTATGATCCAGCAGGAATAAACGGTGACTAACGGTATACAATTATGATGCCTCAACCCTTAAAGGCTACCCCTCAGCCACAAGGGGGTACCCCTCAGCCACAAGGGGGTATAAAGAAAGTACAAGTATTTATGATTAAACATTACTATAGAGAGTTCTTACAGCAGCTTTATAAAATAAGATATGTCTGTCTTGGTATTAAATTAACAAACAGGACATTACTGTCTGTCTTTGTTTAAAGGATTTATTTACATTGAATAAAAAAGACCCCACTGCTACTTATTTGTCTGAAGATGAGCAATTTACAGTTACAACGCTGGCTTTATGGCAACAATGTACAAGTTCTATAGCAATTTTGTCGAAATGCAGAAACCCAAGCCTTGCTTTGCGAGATAACACAATTATACTGTTTGGAGTATAGTTTGCTTTTGAGTTCGTTGTTTCTATTATTTGTATTAAACAAACTTTATGATTCTGTTGTTAGCTTTTGTATGAAGATAATCTTAAAGGAATTGTAGTTTCGTTGTTAACATAAAAAAGAAATGTCATTAAAATATTGAGTAAGAATTTTAAGATTATTACTAGCCGATGAGTCGAAAAGTCTTCTTTAAAAAACATTGTTTTCAATCAGGTTAAATATTGACCATCTAAAAACTGAAATATTTCTTTTCACTGTCCAGGTGATTAAAAAGAATAATCTATCAACCCAGGGATTGTGGATTCGCGCAATTTTGAGGACTTAACCATGTTTCTCATGTTTCTACATATGCCAAAAGTAAAACTTATTAGTTTCAATGAAGCACACTCTAAAGAAATTTAACTGAGCACATGTTTTCTTCAAATTCCAGCTAAATAATGTTTAAAGTAACTTGCTTACAGACGTTCGGAACTTCCAATTATTGACAGAATTTGCCGGTTGTGACTGAGTTGTTTATGAACATTTCGAAACAGGATGGGACTGAAAAAAAACATTTTCTAATTCAATAGAAAACTCATCGAATCTGGTATATTGTTTTTCAATGGAAAACGTAATACTGATACAGCTTCTATTTGTTCGATATAAAATATGAAAAAAAAACATTTTTGTTCTCTGTTTTCACGCCGATTTTAACACACCTGGTCATATTTAGAAAGTAAGTTCACCTAACCGGCTCTCCTGGATAACTTGCCAGTGAAAATAATTCTCTGCATGTGACCAACAACTACATGAATACTGAAGAAGCGGTTAAAGACAAATGACCATTATTTCCAATGCCGGAGAATAAAAATATTGCAATTGTTTTACAAAGAACAGACTCAAAACTTGTATAATAAGCTACACACGTTCTGCACAATCGAACCTAAATTAAAATATGATATAAACTTATTGGTCGAGTGCTTTGAAAATAAAGTTTTGAATTGTTTATCTGAATTTATACGAGTATGAGTTAATATAATAATGTTGAAATTTTAAGTCTCATTAGTTAATGTTCTTTTTTTAAAATTCTATTGTTGTTGTTGACTTTATTTAAATTAGTTTTTATTATTTAGGAAGATTTGAAATTCAGTTTAACATCGATACACAATACACTAACCATAGAATATTGCTAATTTCATGTCAACCATAAATTCATTATTTATTGCAACCTAGTTCATTTATTCCCAATTAATAGTTATATGTTTCATACATGCATCATAAGTTTGTAATTTCCTCCTAACGAATAATTAATTATTCAGTGACATTTCTCAGAAAATCCCGATATTTCGTTTAATTTAATCCTATTTAAGCTTTATTAGCCCTTAGAGTGTTTCGGAATGTTTATGTTTTTGTGCACTTTTCTCATTGAGTTGTGACTACAAAATCAGCTAAAATATTCAATAGAATGGTTCCATAATTTTGCTGCAGAGTTTCTGTGTTAATCGTTGAAAATACCTTTAATTTAAAAAAAAACGTGTTTAAAACATTTACAGTTTGACCTAAATATCCTGTAAAGAGATGTAAAAAACTGCTTTACGGTTCATTTTTGTTGTTGTTGATGTTCATGTTGTTGTCATTGCAAAACAAAAACTCTTAATTAAAAATTGTGGTCAAGGTAAATGTTAGGATTCAGCGTGACAAAGAATATTCTTTTCCAATTTAAACTGTTACAAAACAAACTGGAATAAACGTTGAATGCTATTCCCAACCCGCCTCCCACAACCCAAACCCCCGAACCGAATATGCTTTATACAATTTTACTCACAAAGATGAACAAGGGAGTATCTTAGGAACATAAATATTGATTCTTACAAGTGAAAGACAGTACATGTATTCTACTGGAAAATTGGCTATAGGATCGAATTCTTTTTTATATATTGAATCCCCATGTCCAGTATAAATTAATGCGCCCGTTTAATGAAATAAACAAAGGTTCATACAAAAACATGTACGTTAATAATAAATGTCATCGGTTCATTAATTGAATATTTCTTTTCGTCGTCAAATAAAACTAGAGTTACTATTTTTATATCTAGCATAATACCCGGTAGGAAAAGTATTAACGGAAACAAGAACATTAAAGTTTTTGAAATAAAATGAAATCTATCTAAGGTAAAAGGTTTGTTTTCCAGACTGATGTCACACATCATTTTCATAACAATAAATATGAAACACTCTACTTCTGTTGTTTCTCAGAGAACAATATGTTACTTGTTTAAAAACGAGAAATACAGGTTACTTTGTCTAGCAAAATATGGATGAAAATAAAAAATGTTTATAATAAAGAAATATAATAATAAAAAAATAATTATATCAATAGATATAAGATACCAGTTATTAAGGGTAGAAATTTCTGTCCGGAAATCTATTGATCTTTGTCAGAGTTGTCATTTAGACAGAAATATTATGTAAATGTGAATCTATGATTAATTATCATCCCTCAAACCAAAGCCAATTTAGCAGAGACACATAAAGCTTTATTCATACCAAATTGTTGCTCTATGACAATCTCTTTGTATAATGAAACTGAAATGAGGGTAATTGATGTGGCGACCACGTATTTTTGTAATTCTATGTTATTTTAAGAACTCACGTTACAAGAATATTATTAAGACCATGCTTCTTTAAGATACCAACCCTTAACACAATATGAAATAACCGATCTGATACATTTGCGAAGAAAAGTGCGATTCCCGTAGGTATATTTTTAAAAAAACGCGTTCAACCACGTTCAAGAAAAGCACAATTGCAAATACAGTGTCGGTGAATTTAGCACAATGTGCGTTGTATCTTATTACTTTGTTAACGAATTGTTCATTGTAAATCTATTAATAATTCAATTCTGAACAAAATCTACAAATTTCTTGGACAGCCGTCGTAAAATAAGGAACATAAAGTACCAGCACATCTTGACACGTATAAACATGTATAAACATGTACTATAACTTTTGAGAATGGAAAATTTCTACGTGTGCTTCATTTTCAACCCTAGCTGTTTCTTGTAAT